CACGACGCTGAGCATAATCTCTGAAGTCCCTATTGAATTTTTTGATCTTGATATCTTTATGACTATTCTCTTTTACATTCATATCAGTTTCCTTCAGTTTCTTATCATACACTCCCGGGATACAAGCATTTTTAAGAGATTGTTCCAATGTTTCCACCTCAGTCTTCATCTTATTAAGCTCTTGTTTAAAGGAACAAATGTTTCAAGTCGATTGTTTGCTGCCTGGATCTTTTGTAAACAGAAGTGCTGTGCACCTGTTGCTAAGTGTACATACATGGTGGATTCCCTCTAGACTGCTAACTGGAACACAGAAGTGGATCACTACATATACATACTGGAAAACTGGTGAAGTCCTGGAAGTCTCCCCAGTGGAACAACAGACAGCTACAATTTACAGTTGTGAGATTTCTTTTGAGGATTCTTTCCAGGATTTATGGGGTGTCCCTACCTTGGAGTATCATTTGAAGGACTGGTTTGATGTTCATATTTGAAAATTTGTATGTGATTATTTGTATATGATTATATTTATATGATTATGACTGTATTAAACATGATTAAATTAATCAAGGAAGACTGATATGGTATTTGAAAGTATATTAGTAAATTGATCATGGTAACTTTTGTTTTATTTATGACCTCAACAGCTGGCTACTCAAAAATACCAACATCCCATGTGTATAAAAAACAGCAGCCCCTGCCAGTGAGGCAAGGAGGTCTCACCCCTTGGGCTCTGCCATCTCTTCTTTGGCCTTCTCCTCCTCTTTGACTTCTGGAAGAGAAACATAACACATATTTTTACCCACATAAAGATTTAAGTACAGAAAATGCATTTATATACAAAGCACGCATAGTACATCATTCCTTCTCTCATTCACATTCTTTTTCTTGCTCCCATTGTTTTACTCCCTGCCCCAAAGACAGAATGCCACAGAAACACAGAAAGAATGCAGAATTGGGTTTCCTGAGAGTGAAAGAGAGAGCTGAAGAGTTGAGAGAGAGAGAGAGAGAGAGAGAGAGAGAGAGAACACGAACAGTTTCTAGTTCTTATGGTTATGGAAATAATAAATGCGTGCTCAAATCTCAGAAGCCAGAGAGAAGGACTAAAGACAATGTCCAGGGGCTAAAGGACATTTATCTTATGAAAATGTCATGGGCTCCCAAGGCAGGGCTTCAGCACAATGCCCAAATGCTGATGTTAGCCTTTAAAGCCCCAAGTGCTTGGGAGCAGGGCATGTAAGGGAAGGATCATCCACTGAGCCCAAAGACTGAGAAAGTGGAAGCAGGACTTTTCCTGTGGGTGTCCCACTCTTTGGCAGCTTCCTGCCCAACAAAGTCCACCACATCAACTCTCCATTGGCTTTTAGGAAGCCTTGAGAGGCAAAGGGGCAAGCAGAGTTGGCCACCTAAGCCAGCAGAAAAAGATCCCAGAAATAAGCTGGTTGGAATCAACTGATGGCTTTAAATGCAGGTTTTAAAGTGGATGTTTTTAATAGTTGAAAACAGATTCTATGTTTCTAGACTTGTTTTCCACTCTTCTTCCAAGGAGCTCTAGAAAGTATTCATGGTTCTTCCCCCCACCCCCTTCTTCACAACAACTCTATGTGTTAGGCTAGACAGAGTGCATGATGGGCCCAAGGTCACTTCCACTGTACAGTGGGGATTGAAACCTAGGTCTCCCAGATCCTAGCTTGATACTTGATGACCACTGTGCAACACCAACTCTGTTTTTATCATTTAATGCAAACTGCTTCAGGATCTATTACAGATCAAAAGGAAGGATTGGAATTAAGCATATCAATAAAACCCTGTGGGTCACACACAGATTCTCAGATTTGAAAGGATGCCGGTTGTTAGAACTAGAAAAACTTGTTTTGCTGTTTTGGGGGTAATGTTACCAAACACAAAATGGGCCCTATCATGCCTCACTGGGTGCTGTTTGGGGAATAAGCAGCAGGCATATATGCTCCTGCACAGGGAAGCTGTCCTTACGAAATCTACAGCCAACTACAAGATCCAGTCTCTCTATTGCAACTATCCAAGAAAAGAAAAACGTCACAGAACAGGAAGCCCCCAGCCCGCAAAGGCTAGGATTTGTAAGAGCAGGGGACTGTTCAGCGTGGGGAGGGGCACAGCATTACTTGCCTTCTCTTTGCTCTTTCCTGAAGAATTCTGACCCAACTACATTTCTGCATGTTCTGGCTTTCAGACTGGGCTGCTATGAAGTGCTCTTGGAAAAGTCTCAGTAGCTTCCACAGGACTTCCCATCCATGGAGAGGAGTTAACGGCATAATGACCTCTCAGCAACTGAATTTTACTGGCTTCCAATTAATTTTGGTGCCCAGTTCAAAGCTTTTGCTTTTGACCCTTTATCAACCTAAATGGTTTGGGTTGCTCAGGGACTGTGTTCCCCAATACAAACACTGCAGAGGCCACACTTTGTGTCCCCACCAGATGTAGGAGGCAGCTACTTGAGACAGGGTCTTTTCAGTGATAGTGCCGAGGTTTTGGAACACCCCCCTTCCCAAACCAGGATGCCTGCTTGCCTCGCTCTCCCTTCTAAAGTTAGGATTTCAGCATCTTTTTCCAGTAGATTGAGGATACCAATTAATCCTGTGCCGTTCTTGGCTCCTATCTGGACTTCTAAATGGGTGCGTTGTGCACACTTTCAGGGAAGGTAGCTTCACAGGATAGCCATGCACTGGTGTACACTGGAAAAGCCAGATTCGCATCCAGTAGCTCTCTCCCATTACATTTTTGATTGCCCATTGTATTCCCAGCCTAGGTCAAAACTTTTATCTGGTATTTTACCAGTTTTAAGCCTTTACTCAGTCCCAGAGAAGATTATATTTTTGTTAGCCGATGCCAATGCCCTCTATTCGCCTTGGCTGCAAGGAAAATACGAGCCAACGCTGTTCCTTGCTAATACTGATTTTAGTGGGTATGTTGTGAAATAATTAACTGTTTATAACTTCAGTTTTATGAATTTATAATGTTTTAGACTGTATCTTATTTTATACAATTTTCTATGTTTAATTGCATTCTTCTCTGTTCATGGTTTGTAATGGCCTATGGCTAAATACAATAAAAACCTTCTTCTTCATCCAGTAGCTCCTCAGAGACAACCAGGTTTGAGCTTTCAAGAGGCAAAGCTCCCTTTGCCAGACAGATGAGGGGAACTTTGACTCCTGAAACCTTGCACCCTGAAAATTTTGTTGGTCTCTAAGGTGCTACAGAACTCAAATCTAGCACTTTCAGGGAACTTTCTCTTCCCAATGCATCTCTCTTTCTAAGAGAGGTGCCCCCTGCCCTCAAGGCACACACAGAGCCCAGAGGACCATCGCAGGGGGCAAGGCAGCTGAAGTTAAGCAGGGGTAGCCCACAACAGGAAATTGGGGTAGCCATCAGGAAATTCGTGTGAAAAGGAAACAGGAAATCTTTTTTTTCACTTTAAAAACATACTGAGCAGAACTTACTAAAGGTCTGCACGCCCCTCCACACACCCCAAGTGCCAAATATATAAAGTTATGTCTAGCTTCAGAGTCACGTTCACCTTTTTTCTCTTCCTCCTTCTCCTCCTCTTCAGTTTTCACACGTTTGGCCTTCTTGAAGTTCACCACATTTTTGCGTCCACCTTCCCCTTCGTCTTCAGAGTCGGAGAATTCTTCATCGCAAGCTATTCTCTTATCTGAGGAGCGAACTGTGGGACAGCAGAAAGATCAGCAGCGATGCAAGACTTTTCACTCAGGGGGAAAAGAGTTTCAAATGTTATGGTAAACTATATGCAGGCACACACACAAAGCACTGTACAATCTCAAGTTAATGACCCTGTGCTACACCTTATCCCAACTAAAGAATATACACGGCTGTGTATGTTATGTGCCATCAAGTTACTTCTGACTTATGGCAACACTATATATATTTTTTGCCATCAAATCACAGCCAACTTACAGCAACCTCCTAAGGTTTTCAAGGCAAGAGACTAACAGAGGTGGTTTCCTATTGCCTTCTTCTGCATAGCAACCATGGAATTTCTTGGTGGTCTCTCATCCAAGTACCCGCCAAGGCTGACCCTCCTAAGTGTGTGGCCACAAGAGTGGCAGAAGAGCACCAGATGGCTGGATCTTCCCCATTTTACTAAACCTCTACAGAAACCCAGAGGTGGCAATTTCTTCTACCCTGAGGTAGAGGGTTGAGTAGGGGGTGGAACCTCACCAGCTAGAAAGGAACCAACATCTTCATGTATCTCTCAGGTATCAGGTACCACCCAGGAGGTAGCAGTCAATACACAGACTCATAACAACAATAATTAAGTACTGTCAAGTTGCAACTGACTTATGATGACCAATCCCGCATGGGGTTTTCAAAGCAAGAGATGAGCAGAAGTGATTTGTAATCACCTTCCTCTGAACAGCCACCCTTGTCTTACATAATCCAAGTATTAACCACAGCAGACCCTGCTTAGCTTTTGAACCGTAAGAACCTGGGTTATTCAGGCTGCTCTATGCAGACTTGCATCAGTTAAAGAGCCTGGTGTTTCACCATCTACAGTCACTTAAGCTTTCCTTTAAAGAAAGTGAGTATTTTGTGTTTGTGTGTGGAAGTCATGGTTGACTTCTGGCAACCCCTAGTGATGCTTGTCATTTCAGAGAAGTGGCTTACTATTGCCTTTGCCTGCCTCTGCATCCCGGCTCTGGTATTCCTTGGATGTCTCCCATCCAAGTACTTGCCAGGGCCAGCCCTGCTTAGCTTCTGAGATCTGACGAGATTGGGCTTGCTTGGGCTATCCAGATCAGGGCACCCAAGCTTTACTTTTGTTACAAGATTTGAGCTCTCTGTCTCCTGCATTTGAGGCAGCTGACTAGCAACAAAACAGCCTGCACAATGGCACAATAAAACCTCAACGGACCATGATGAAAACTACTGATACGCACCATATCCCGAGAAACACCAACTCTATCATAAGAGCGCCATGAGCTTTTCTAAACGGCTGTTTTTCTAATGACAGCAGTGGGCTTTTTGGACCTCCTCAGTCAGGCCATTTCAGAGTCCTGGGGCTACAGCCAAGAAGATTTTGGGTCTTGCCAAGGAGGTTCAACTGTCTAGCCAACCAGAGCTGCCAAATGGACCCAAATGAGCAAGTGGCTCTACACATCTGCTCACACAACTCCAACAAGGCACCACAATCTACTTAAGCAATGCGCTCACTGGAAATCCGTTTGTCAGAATCTTCCTCATCTTCATCTCCACTGTCCTCCAGCACAGCGTCCTCTGGAATCGGCTGCATCTGGACCCCAGGAGCGTGGGGAAGCATTCGCAGGTTCTCAAAGAGGCGCTGCCTATGGCCAAACAAAGACACCCCCACACACAAGCTGATCAGAAAAAAGGCAGCAGACAACCAGCAAAAGGACAGAGAGCTGTAGCAAAACTTCACCAGCGCTGAGCAAGACTTACTTAATCTTCTCCAGATATTCATTGGTGTTTTGGTTGGTCATGTTGGAGGGACTGATATGGAGCTTGAAGTCAGGGCCAAAGTATTCAAAATAATCATTGTATGGAAGCTCTGCAGGAGAGAGAAGCACACAATGCTAAAACCTGACTGAGTCTGTACCGAAGCAATTCGAGGTGTGCACAAAGAAAAGCAACAAAGGCTACTTTTACACAGATTTGATAATGCACTTTCAATGCACTTTAGCAATCGTCTGCAACTGGATTTTCACACCAATTGCACTAAAGTGCATTGAAAGTGCATTATCAAATGTGTGAAAACAGACATCGTGGGGGGGGGGAACTGGTTCAGATAAGAGAGGTTCTGCACAGGCAAATGCACATAGATTTATTGAATCTACAGACTATATTCTAGTAGGCTTGTTCGTGCTGCAATATGCATGTGTTGGAGGGATCATAAAATCTCTAGTGAAAATTTCTCATATCAATACAATGTCATTTTCCTCTCAAACTGGGAGCAGCTTTTTTCAAGAAGCTCCTGGACAGTCTCCAAGCACAGGCATCTAACAGGGACAGATAACCTTTGCATTAGCAATGATTACTTCAGACCACCACCTAGAATGAATTTGAGTTTCCTCTTGTAGGGGAAGAACACTGGATGAGCATGGAAGCAGCTCCATGCATATGTATCCTTCTAAACCTTCAATGGACCAAGGAAACAGGCAGGCAAGCCAGCTGTCATGTCTCAATACATCTACTGTACAGAGAACCAGCAGTAGTCCCCAAGCCTCATTTTTAAAGATGCTGTAAAGGCTCCAGGGGAGGGAAAAACCTCTACATAGTACATATACATATATACTACTTTACCATTTGGGATCTCTGTGTTCAATGCCACAGCAGTCTCATATGTCCAGCACCTGGCCACATTGCGAATAGTATAGCCTCCTCCTCCAAGCATCAGCATGGGCAAGTTAAAGCTTTTGATAAACTCCACACATTTGGCATGACCTACAAAAAGGAGAAAGTGGGTCAGATCCCTGGGCAGACATGCAGAACACTTCAGGATTGGAGAGGGGGTGAGGAGCCACAACCAACTGCACAAGAATTTCATTAATTTGGAGGCACCATAAATTCCAGATCTGCGCCTCCCCAGACACTCAAGTACACTGCAAGTAATTGTGCACGCTCCAAAACTTGCACCCTGACACGTTCTACAACACATCAATGATCCTGAGATTCAACTTGTAAAGTGGAAATATTTCTTGAGAAGGTCCTGAATAAACCCCAATGCCACCCCAACTGCAGGAAACAAAGTCCCCTTTTACCTTTAATGGTCAGATTAAAACAACCCAGTCTGTCCCCCGATAAAGAATCCGACCCACATTGCAATGCAACGGCACTAGGCTGGAATGTCTCCATCACTTTAGACATGACCTGATTAAAAAAAGGGATAGATTGGTCAGATGCCCATGTGGGATGGTATTGCAGCAATACAATGAAGTTGCGACAATGACAGAAGAGCTGCAGCATGCAAATGGGGGGGGGGACCCCCAGTGAGATGCACTAGGGAGAGAAGCTTACTGGCTTGAAGATGGCTTCATAGGACTCATCATCTATTCCGTCCCGGAGAGGGTAGTTGACAGCATAATACTTTCCTTTCCCTGCACCAATGTCCTAATGGGGTAAAGGAGATATCACAGAACAATCATAATTGCACCTAGACTTTCTCTTCTCCCAACCCCAGAATAGCAAAACACATAACTTTAGACACTGTAGTTTTTTAAAAAACTAACCCATCTTCCACCTTCTTGGGAGCCAAGGCAATTGTATATACTTTTTGAGCAAGGCAGTATATATTTTATACAAGAATGCAGACTTAGACAAAACAGCACTGGAGGTGGGGGGAACCAAGCCAACCCAAACCCATTTTCAAAATCTTCAGGCTAGCTTATTATCTAATTGTTGGAATTGTTTTTATTTAAATGGATCAATTATTGAATTGCTTTTATTTTGATGTGATTTATGACTGTTATACATCGCTCAGAGCCTTGAATGCTCAGGGATGGAGCGATCCACAAAGCAAAATTATAAATATAAATAAATTAAAAAGGGCTGGAAGTATGGCTCAAATAAATAAAGTTAAGAGATCCTCAGGGTGCCGAAAGCTACTGCCAGTCTCTCTTCCTATGTTTCCTTACCACAATTACAAGAGCATGGACGATACCATTCTCTGCTCACAGATGCTGTAAAGCCAGATTGAGGGTTTCCAACACAGAGTCAGGCTGCTGCTCTGATTACAGCATCTAGAGGGCTCTATGTTTTTAATGGGCCCTAAGCCAGGGGTGTCAAACATGAGGCCCAGGGGGCGGATCAGGTCCTCAGAGGGCTGCAATCTGGCCCACGAGGCCCTGGCTGTTTCCTGCTTCCTTTTCCAGTTCTGCTGCTGCTGCTACATCACAGCTTACTTTACCAGACTCTCTCAGTTGCACAGGAGAGATAAGATAGGCAAGCCTCTCCTGTGCAATTGAGAGAGTCTGGTAAAGTAAGCTGTGATGTAAAGTAAAGCACTGGCTAAGGCTCCTCCCCTTCCTGCTCCCAGGGGGAGGGAGAGAACCAGCTAGAGTTCAATTCCTGGCCAGGCTGCCTCAATACTATACAGGAAACAAAGTGAAGCCTTTCTTTCCTTCCACTGGCTGAGGTCCCTCCCTGAAGGGAGGGAACAAGGCAGAGCTTGCTTTATTGGGCTGCCTCAATCGCACCTTTAAGACCAACAAAAAGAGGGTCCATCCGGGGGGGGGGGAGAGGGAAAAGATTGTTCAGGAACAGCAAGTGTGAGATTTTAAGGGAAACAGAAATTAATTGGGGTTTTCCAGGGCAGCTTCTGCTCCAGCCTCCATTCTCACCCGCAGGTCCCCCGTTCCCGGGAAGTATTCTCCGTACTTATGAAAGGATGCTGTCATGACGCGGTCTGTGGTGTAGAAGGCCTCTTCCACGCCATCGCCATGATGGATGTCAATGTCGACATACAGCACCCGCTGGTGGTACCTGGAATGGCAAACAGTTGCCCAGCTGGTCGCCTGATGCCCAAATGATGCCAGCTTATCAGCCCCTCTTCTGCAATATTTTGGGTAGGTAGAACTGTCAGGATCCCACTATTTCTACCTTTGGGGAGCACTTCCCACATCTACTAGTCTGCCAACGAATCCCTGAACATTGCAGAGGGTTCTGGGGGGCACTGCCTGTACCCTAGAGTTGGCAATCCATTTCCCACGGTGGACTGGCCAGGCCTGTGGGGTCTCACCATGATCCCATATGAACAGACAGCACACCCCAGAATACTGCCACCAAACCCCCTTCCCCACTTTAACTGCCCATTCCAGGGGAAGATCAGTCACACTACGCAATGTTGCCTGTCTGAGAAGTCCTGTCTACCATTATTTACTGCTCCTTTCCACTGAGAAGTCCTTGATGAACTTCCAAAGAGACTGGGGCATCGCCTGGAACATGGGCTGACAATGACTGTGCTACCCTGACACACCTAGCCTAAGTAAATATACCAACCAACTGGATATGTAGCATGAGGGTCAAAGTTCAGGAAAGCAGGACACTCACATCCCCCCCCCCCCGAAAAAAAGCCGCACATGGGCAAGTTTTTGCAGACGGGACTTCAAATGCAAGTCTGGATCTCAGCAATTGCCTTTCTTGCAAAAACCTAGAGTGGGAAAAAGCTGGCCAGGTGGGCAAGAGCAACTGAAATCACAAGCAAGGAAACAAAAATGAAGCTAGAAGAGAAACCAAGAAGGGTCCCAAGTCTCCTGCTCTTCTGGCTCCACACAGAAACACACTATTAAAAACAATCACAACAGACATGGGTTTAAAGCCATCTGGGGAGTCAAGCTACCCCCCCCCCAAAAAAAGTGGGGCACATAAACATAAGGGGAGAAGCACCATTTTTCATAGTGACCTTGTTTCGGGAAAATTGTTAACTGGTATAGCACTCTATGCCTGGAACAGTCATAAACACTTATAACAGAACCATCTATGCATACCAGCTTTTGCTCCACCCCCAAGGAATATCTCATGGTAAGAGAACCTCCCTTGCAAACCAGCCCAAATAACATTGCCTTGAGCCTGGTTCACACAAACAGCAGCAAGCTGGTTAGCCATTTCAGAATTCCTGGAGAACTGGGAGGGGAAAAGGGAGTGGACTGACTGAATGCTTCCCACTAGAAATTATAAAAACCCAGAATATCAGAAAGGAGGCTATGCTAAAGCAATTATCCCTGACACCTCATTTGCTACACTGCAGGGAGCTTTCTGTAGGCAGAAACATTCAATTGTGTGAACCTCCACCAACAGGCTGAAATAGCGGAGTCCAAGAACAGTTTTACTGCTTCATCTGCTGCTGTTTACACCATGTAGGCCTATAAGAATAATAAAACCCAGTACTGATGGACATTCTATTGACACAGGGCAAGACATATCACTTTCTCTACCAGAACATCCTTTCTTTACAAGCTCTGGAACATACTTGAGCAGTTCCAAAATAGCCAGGACGATGTCATTGACGTAACAAAAGCCAGAGGCCTCAGACTTCTTGGCATGATGCAAGCCACCTGCCCAGTTCACAGCGATGTCCGTCTGCTGCTTGTTCAGCTTCACTGCACTGGCTGTGGAGAGATTTGTGAGCCATTGACACAAGACAGGTTTGTAAAGAGACCTCAGAGAACGTCCGCCTTACAGAGTCAGGGGAATCGAGAATTCTGCGCTAAGGCAATCTACAGCTTGTGCTGCTGAACTCAGGATTCTTATAACCCAGCTGAATGCAAAAATCTACGAAGCCAGCACTCAGGCAGCATAGCAGGGTGGTGATGGCTACCAGCTGCTCCACCTGACTCGCAAAAAACTGACTATTGGATCATACTTACACAAATGAGAATTATGTATTCTTGCAATCTAACCTTTCGGCATCTCGCCATTTCATGAACCCCTTAACACAAGCAGTCAAGGTTTTCAACTAATAAGAATAATTGCATAACATCAAGTTGCAACCAATATTCCCTCTAAGCTGTGGAGTCTTGTGAGCAAAGATTCTACTTTCTGAGCTACTGCCATTAAAGTTGTGAGCGAGCAACTTGGCTGCTGCATAAATTAGTTTGCCCTGGCGCCATCCTTCCTGAGCTAAGACAGAAATGTGTGAGCCGGAGGCTAAAAAACTGTGAGCTGGCTCACTCTAACTCAGCTTAGAGGGAACACTGGACTTGCAACCAACTCACAGAGACCCCAGGACCGTGGGTTTTTCTGGGCAAGAGACAAGCAAAGGTGATTGGCCATTGCCACTGCAAAGCAGCTCCAGTCTTCCTTGGTTGTCTCCCATCTAAGAGCTAACTGTGGCCAATCCTGCTTTAGCTCCCAAAGCTCTGATAAGATCTAGTTAGTCAGGGCTATTCAGGTTGCTATGGTTGTTAAATGCATAGCCCTTAATGCTGTGTATCTGTGAGGAATATACACATGCACCTATAGCTAATGACACTAATTGTGTTACTGATCGCTATTCACCACTTTGTAATTTGCAAGCTCCCTTCTGAGGCAAGAGGTGAAGTCAGAACACCTTTGAAACAGAAATCCAATTCAAAGAGGACCCCCCCCACCCGACAATGCATGTTCACTCATCCTTCGGGTTCGTTTTTTTAAAATTAGAAACACTTACCAACAGAGCCTCCTGTAGAAAGCTGACAGAATTCAAACAAGCCATCAAATACAGGGCAGTCCTCCCCAACATTGACTGGGGGTAAAAAAAAAAAAAAAGATATTGGCAAGATGAGCAGTAAGTTAATCAAAGAATATAAGTAGACTCGGCAGAACAAGAGAGATAAGAAACACCAGCTTCTGTTTAAGACAATCATAGTTCTTTGATTGGGAAAACAATTGTTGGGGCATGGGTAGAGACAAATGGGGAAGAAGAAGATCTGGCAGTAATATAAAAACTGTAAAGCACCTGGAGAAAAGGTGAGATTTTCCCTTTAGATCCCAATCCATGTAGTCTAGAAGTGCACTGCACAAGCAGAGAGCAACTGCATGGCCTTTTCTCAGTTCAAGGCTGAGGGATGGAGGGGAAGGCTTAGCCAGCAGTCTCATATGCAGGAGTCACACGGAACTGAATGCAAGAACTCGAATGATCATAATACTGTGCATTTGTACAGAGAATTTCAAGTGCCTCACAGCGTGGCAGGTCAGTGCTATCCCTAGCTTTATAATTCCTTGATTATTTGGACTGTTGCTGGCCTTTATGTTTCCAATGGGAAGAAGCTGGTTCTTGCTCCCAAACAGCCAGGGGAGTGACTTGTGACCACCACCATTTTAAATTTGCATGCCTGCTCAGCATTTTGCAGAGGGTGCCCATCATATGAGCTCTTACGAACATGATCCAACGCATCTGGTTGCCACCCCTCCCCTTTCTGTGTTTATATATTTGTAACATCCACCCTGATTAAGAGTTCCAGTGAACTCAAAACGCTTGTACACTGGCATCATTTGGTTGGCTGTAACAAAGAGTATTACGTGGACCATGTTCATGGTTTTCAATTTTGCTTCGGACCAACACAGCTGCCTGCAATGTCTCTCTACTGATTCTGAGAGCATGTGCCTGCTTCATATTATAAACCCTGCTCAAGTCTGACTGTTCTATACAGTGCAAATAGTGAGGGGAAGGTCCCCTTTCAGACAAGAAGTGCATACCCTGCCCTTCTGCTCTGACAAATATCAGAACATCACTCCTGTAACTTACATCGCTGCATCTGCTTGCTGTATTCAGACATGTTGTCTGGGCGAATTGACCGCAGAAATTTGATGTAGTCGTCACTGTGGTATTTGGTCATTTCTTCAGCACTTGCTTTGTAAGGGCGCTGCAATGACAGACCAGTTCAAGACACCTTGGTAATGGCCATCCCATATGAACACAGCTCAAGATTATCAGGAGTGCTTTCCACACATATTTCAAGATTGAAACATTTTGGTACATGGAAATGGTAAATCCATCTTAAAGACTACCAGATTTGCTATGGCCAAAGCTTTCATGGCTACAGTGTCCTTTGCTAGATGCATAAAATGAATTCTGAAATACAGATTTATATAAACACACAAAGGGGAAACTTTGAACAAAGGTGTGAAGTGGTCATAAAAGTAGTATACCTGCTGACATTTGTGCAAAACTCACAATTCACAATAAGCGCTGTAAACATTCATAACATAAACGGCAATAACAGAGTCTACCTAGTTATATACACTTAACATCTGAAGAAGCTAAAAAAGGTACCTGTTCTATTTAACCTCCCCTGCCTCGACGGGAAGGGTGGGGTATAAACTAAATAAATAGGTTAATACAGTTAAACTTATTAATTCTAACTCAGCTATTTCCTGTCAGAATCTCCCTTTTCTCTGTTGACAAGTGGAGACTTTCAGGTCAGCCACAGCTTAAAAAACCCCATGTTCTCATTGGCTCCTAAATACCGCTACTCTTTCAATGCCAAATTGTTGATCATTTGTTTTTTTGTGCAGAGACTGAAGTATGACATTGTTGACAGAGGCTGACATATATTAAATTCTAGGATGAGTGAGAAATGAGCCCCTGATGGGAGGGCCAAAGTAGTAACCGATTTAAACTAGGGAGCTATTCATAAGCAAGGAAAACCTACAGCTCAAAACTTCTAAAACACAAGTATTAGTATCTAGCATGGGCTGTACTGTAGATCACTGACAATGTGACACAGTGATTTGAGCCAGGAACTCTAGGTGACACCAGGGATGTGCTATCTATTTCTTGACATCCCAATTACAGATTTCTTTTTTTTAAAAAAATTATTATTATTTTGATGTAACTGAGAACGTTTGTTTCTTCAACACGGCTTCTTGACTGATGTGTCTTGCCCCTGGCTTAAGTGTGGAATTTAAAAACAGATCTGTTTATTATACTCACATAGATTTCCATTTTTCTGTAAAGGCCATAGTTGAGGAGGAGGTTGTGGGTCATCCTGATCCTGTGGGGTTTCATAGGGTGGCCTTGACCATAATAATAGTTCCCAATATCCCCTGAGAGGTGAGATGAAAACAAAATAGTTACATCTTGGGTACTGGGGCTGAAAGATCTGACTAGGCACAACTTCCCACAGCACTCCAGGCACAGAAAGGGTTTAAGTAGCACTAGATGATATGGAACAGTGGCATAAGTCAGGGAAAAGCTGATTTATTAACAGTTATACGAAGGCTTAAAGCAAAGGTGTCGAACTCATTTGTTACAAGGGCCGAATCTGACATAAATGTCATTGCCAGGCTGGACCACGTGTACTATAAAATGTAACATGAGCTACTGCAGATATAAACTTTATAAGGATGATTTCAGATGCCAAATGGCAATGGGCTTGATTGGATTAGGTGTGATATGCAGAGGGGTAGTAGGCGTGGAGATATCAGCAATGGTAATGTGACAGGAAACCTAGGTCTCAGTTTAGTCCAGGATGCAAAGAATAAATGGACCTAAGTCTGAAGAAGTGAACAATGATTCACAAAAGCTCATACCTTGCCACAAATTCTGTTAGTCTTCAAGGTGCTTCTGGACTTTTACTCTTTCTACAGCTATAAGAAGCCACAGCATTCAAAAACCAGTGGGGAGACATTTTAACCTTCCAGGACATTCAGTTGCTGACCTAAGAGTAGCAGTTCTCTTACAAACGAATTTCAAAGGGAGATTAGAGAGAGAGACTGATGAATTGCAAACCGATAATGAAGCTCAATGCATCCTCCTGGGCTGAACTGAAACCTACGTTTCTTCTCTCGTTACCAATGGCCGCTATTATTTTTTGGCGTCTGAAATCACTTCACTCTTCAAGATACAAGGACAGATGGACTCACATTCTAGCTGTATCTGAAGAAGTGAGCAGTGACTCATAAAAGCTCATGCCCTGCCACAAATTTTGTTAGTCATTAAGGTGCTACTGGACTCTTGCTCCCTTCCACTAATAAAGATTGCAATCTGTGCTGTTAGGTTTCTTTTATTATTATTTTTTCATCTGTTAGAACTGGAAAGGGGATCTCTCCAAGTAAAATAATGTGTTGCTTTCAGACTGGACAAAATCCACTCATTGCTAATGATGATAATAAAGACGTCGATACCAGGTAAATTGGTGGAAACTATTATTAAGGAAAGAATTAGTAGGCACACAGATGAACAAAACCTATTGAAGCAGAGCATGAGTTCTGTAAGGGAAGATCTTGTCTCACTAACCTCTTAGTGTTCTTTGAGGGGGTGAACAAATATGTGGACAAGGAGGATCCAATAGATATTGTTTACCTTGACTTCCAGGAAACTTTTGATAAAGTTCCTCATCAAAGGCTCCTAAGTAAGCTCAAAAATCATGGGATAAAAGGACAAGTCCTTTTATGGATCAAAAACTGGCTAATTAAAACAGAGAGTGAGTATAAATGGGCAATTTTCTCAGTGGAGGGTGGTAAGCAGTGGGGTACCGCAGGGATCAGTACTTGGTACACTGCTTTTTAACTTGTTCATTAATGATTTGGAGTTGGGAGTAAGCAGTGAAGTGGCTAAATTTGCGGATGATACAAAGTTGTTCAGGGTGGTGAAAACCAGTGAGGATTGTGAGGCACTCCAAAGGGATCCGTCAAGGATGGGCAAGTGGGTCTTAAACCCACTTGTAAGAGCAACCTCCTACAAAGAAAACATAATAAAGATGATAAATAGGTGGCACTGGACGCCAGATAGGTTGCAAAAATGGTATACAAATGTCTCAGGCTCCTGTTGGAGATGCAAACATAATATCGGCACGTATTTCCACATTTGGTGGAAATGCGAAAAAATACAAAAATTTTGGAAAAGTGTTAAACAGATGTTAAAAGAAATAACAGGGAAAGACTTAGCACTGATACCAGAGATCTTTTTGCTGAATGTAACACCTGATGGGCTAAAGTTTAACGAGAAATGTAGTATCTTATATGTTATTACAATGTCTAGGATTTCTATTGCTAAAAACTGGAAGTCTGATAAGTTACCGAGAAGGGATGACTTGACCAATATCTTGTATGAAGTAATTGAGATGGATAAGCTCAATATGTGTTTGGCGGGTAGAACAGAAGAACAATTTAATTCGAAATGGCAAAAGGCCATAAAATGGTATGAAGACAAAAGTTGATTTAACCCCCAAATGTATGTAACTGTAACAAGACTATATGTAAAGTTGGAAAACTCAAAATAAATTAAAAAAAAAAAAGGATGGGCAAGTGGGCATCGACATAGCAAATGGGGTTCAATGTGGCCAAGTGCAAGGTGATGCACAGTGGAGCCAAAAATCCTAAATATAAATACACATCGATGGGGTCTGAACTGGCAGAGACTGATCAAGAGAGAGATCTTGGAGTTGTAGTAGATAACTCACTGAAAATGTCGAGACAGTGTGTGACTGCAATAAAGAAGGCCAATGCTATCCTGGGGATTATTAGGAAGGGTATTGAAAACAGATCAGCCAATATCATAATGCCCCTATATAAATCAATGGTGAGACCTCATTTGGAATACTGTGTGCAGTTCTGGTCACCACACCTTAAAAAGGATATTATAGCTTTGGGAAAAGTGCAGAAAAGGGCAACTCGAATGATAAAAGGGTTGGAACACTTTGCCTATGAGGAAAGGTAAAAGCGCTTAGGGCTCTTTAGCTTGGGGAAAAGATGACTGAGGGGTGACATGATTGAGGTTTATAAGATTATGCATGGGAAAGAACAGGTAGAGAAAGAGGTACTTTTCTCCGTTTCTCACAATACAAGAACTCGTGGGCACTCCATGAAATTGCTGAGCGGTCGGGTTAGAACGGATAAAAGGAAGTACTTCTTCACCCAAAGAGTGATTAACACATGGAATTCACTGCTACAGGAAGTGGTGGTGGCTACAAGCATGGACGGCTTCAAAAGAGAATTAGATAAGCATATGGAGCAAAGTTCCATCTGTGGCTATTAGCCACAAGGTATAGATAGGGACTCTGGGGCAAGTGATGCTCTGTCTTCTTGGTGCTTGGGGGGGTCAACAGTGGGAGGGCTTCTAATGTCCTGGTCCCACTGGTGGACCTCCTGATGGCACCTGGTATTTCTGGCCACTGTGTGACACAGTGTGTTGGACTGAATGGGCCTTTGGCCTGATCCAACATTGGCATCTCTTATGTTCTTATGTTCTTAAAGTTTAAAAAGAAAGGGGAGAGTTAATGTGAAGAAAGGCAGCCAGTGAGGTGGGAGGGGAGAGAGGGAGACCACGTGTTGAACTGGAAAATATGGAACTATTAATTTATTTTTAAATACTTAGCCATCTACTTCCAGTCATTAAACAATGGAATCCAATTCAGGTGCTGTAATTCCTAATCAGGGTCTGTCACGGCTCAGGTGGGTTGTCACCTGACGCTGCCACCACTCTGGTTCCAGGCTCTCTTGAAAAGGCCCAGAGCACCCTCCCAAGACCTTAAGACCTCTCTTTTGGCCAAATAATAGGCGTGAGGACCAGGCAGAGTGAACAATGAAAATACTTTATTTTATAGGAGGTCAAACAAACAAGGTGCAGAATAATAACAGTAAGTGGGTGGGGGAAAAAATCAAATGCCTTAACGCGTCTAAATATATACTGTCCCTAGCTAGTAGGCCTCTGGTGGCACTGCCCAGATCATGACAGGGTCTTTTTGAAAGAAAATCCCAGATAGGCAAAGAGAAATCTAATCTCAAAAAAAAAACCCCACCACTTTTCTGAATAAGCCAAAATAATTCCCCTTTAATTCCCCTTATCCCAGATGCATCTCTTTCCTGACCCCCTTCCTTTTTTAACATGAGTGTGTGTGAGTGATCAGGTCCCAAAGTAAACAGCAGAGCATGGCTTGTCAGAAGAATCTCCCTCCCTTTCAAAGAACTGTGCATGCACAGGAAGGCTTTTACCTGGAATAAAACTTTGTTGGTCCTGAAAGTGCCATGGGACTCCCTCTCCAAATGTGGGAAGAGTGGCTTGGGAATGCAGCAGCAGCCCCAGAGGAGGAAGCAGGAGGAAGTGGAGGGAGGTTTTCACTAGTGTGCGTGTGTGCACTCTCTTTTTCCTTCCCCCTCCCTTCCTCCCTAAAGGAGGCTTGGCAACACAGCCGCAGCCACAGAGGAAGAAGCAGGAGAGAGCAGAGGGAACTTTTATCTGGTGCGCACATGTGCACTCTTTTTCCTTCCCCCTTTACAGCAGCAGTAGTGGCCATACAAAGGAAGCAGCTGTTTGTAGGCTGGATATCAGCCCTGCGGAGGCTAGATCCAGCCCGCAGGCCGCATGTTTGACACCCCTGGCCTAGAGTTTGCCGCAGCTGCAGATAGGGTGTACACTGAGACCAAAATGTCCAGACAGGGAATTTATGCAGAGCAAAGGAGCTCCAATAGCTAACAACACACTCCTAAAGACACACACAGGTCTTGGGGAAGCTTCACATATTAAAAGGCAATCATGCTGGCTGCAAGTGTAACTGTTTCCTGCTCCAGAAACAAGACCTGAACAGTGGAATACAGTCACTCAACCTCAAACACGACGCATCAAAAAGAGTTACAGAAAAAAACCACAAACACAGTCAAAGGAGGAGACACCCCTTCCTTAGGAGGAAAGGCTAAGGTGAGCCTGCACCCTTTAACAAGAACAGTATGTTGGAGTCTGGATGGAGCATGAGAACATAAGAGAAGCCAATGTTAGATCAGGCCAATGGCCCATCTAGTCCAACACTCTGTGTCACACAGTGGCCAAAAATACCAGGTGCCATCAGGAGGTCCAGCAGTGGGGCCAGGACACTAGAAGGACACTGTTTGCCCCCCCCCAGCACAGAGTGCATCACCTGCCCCAGCCTGTGAGTTCCTATCTATATCTCGTGGCTAATAGCCTCTGATGGACCTCTCTTCCATACTTCAAAATTATGGCTACCAGCAGATGAGACCTTTAAAAATGCAGCAAACCAAGGAATTTGGACCTTTCAGAACTTGCAAAATCATGTGACTGTAGCCAGCATCAGTCCTTCTTCGAAAACATGGCTCTTGGTGGTCTGGAAAAGGGAGGAAAGGCTGCCTAGAGTAGGAAAGTGGCCTACCTTTCTTCTATCAACACTATGTTAAAGAGAAGAGCCAGGAGGCAGAAGAGAAACAGCCTAAGTTGGAGCGCAGCTGTGGGAGAGAGCTAATACCTCAGCACTTGGGAAAGCACCCAGATTGAAACATTTCCTGGCACCCCACTGTATAAAGCTCTCTGCCTCCCCACAGATATAAGAAGCTACCCTGGGAAGTGTGGGAAGGAAATCAGAGGCAGGCATGTGGGGGGGGGGATTGTTCCTGTGGTTGAGCAGTAGATTTTTAAGGCACCACAATCTTCACAACTGAGTTGGCAACACTGAAGAACATGCCCCATTCTTACTGCCTCTCCCAACTGAGTTTTCCTTCCCAGCACCACTACTTCACTCATTTCTCTTCTAAGACCTTCCGATAGCACCCCCTAGTTACAGTTCCTATCCACAGCAGACCAAGGGCTCATCTCTTGTAGCACTCATTTCTTTGCAAGACTTTCTTCCTGCACATGGCACTCAACTCCTAGGGCCCCCACACTGACCTTCCAGCCCCCTTGCTTCCAGCCTCAAAGATGTGCCAAGGAGAAATTGTCTCATGAAAGTTGGGCTTTGGTCAACTGGAAGACAGTTGTGGCCTTTTACCACTTTTAGGGGGAAATAAAGGATTACTAATGTTCTTATTTGTGGGAACACATACTAATGAAAGCTTCTGCAGGTCAAAAGCGTATCTGAAGAAGTGAGCAGTGACTCCTGAAAACTCATAAAGGTAAAGTTTTCCCTTGATCGAAAGCTAGTCAATTCCGACTCCAATCCAAATAACCAGCGCTGTTTGAAGACTTCTCCGTGGGCATGTGGCCAGAATAACTAAACCCTGAGGTGCACAGAACACTGTTACCTTCCTACCAAAGCGGTACCTATTTATCTACTTGCAATTTCTTGCTTTCAAAAACTGCTAGGTTGGCAGGAGCTGGCCCAGAGACGGGAGCTCACTCTATTAGGTGGCACTAGGGTCTTGAACTGCCAAGCTACCAATCTTCCCTGAGCCACCGTGGCCCCGCAAAAGCTCATACCTTGCCACAAATTTTGTTAGTCTTTAAGGTGCTACTGGACTCTTGCTCTTTTCTACTGCTACAGACAGACTAACAAGACTACCCATCTTGAAATAACTTTTCTGAGATTCTTTGCCAGGTTTTGAACCCTGGCCCAAGTTTTTGCTGCTCATCTCCCAGTTTCTCCCCGCAGCATCTTCACAGTGCCATCCTGCTCCTTCCAACTAGCTCTAGTATTTGCTTCTCACTTCCAGACCCTGCACACCTTCACTTTCACTCTAGTCCAGCCACTAACCACCACACCCTGCCACCTTGATTCCTCCCTTCTTATCCAAGCCCCAAACTGCCTTGTCCTCCAAATACTTCTCTAGCAAGCACAGCAGCCAACAGTGCAATCCAAGAAATGGCCACAAGGAAACCCCCACTGTATTTCAGTATTTCCTTTTCTATATACTTCCCTTCCCTCCCACCGGTAGTATAGAGGTACGTTCATCTGCCAAGGTTGTTGTATGGATTACTGAGGATACATCAAACACACCAAATAAGGGCAACATAAGCACTTTGGTATGATTACAACCAGCTAATTTCTCCCCTTGTGATTATCCCTTTTCCTTCTCCAGGCTTTAATCACGGTGGGGTGGTCATCACTTGCCTCTCCTGAGAACTTCCCCTCCTCCTGCACTTTTCCTCCTCTTTCCCACCCTGCATTCTTTATTGCCCCACCCAGCAACCCTCCTCCACCTTTCCATTCCCACCCTCCTCCCCACCCAGCTTGGTGTAGTGATAAGCAAGCACATCAAATCCCCACCTGGGTGACCTGCAGCCACCCAGTCACTCTCAGCCTAGCCTACCTCACAGGGCTGATGCTACGAGATTAAAAGAGAGGGAAAAAGAGACGTAAGCCGTTTTAGATTCCTCACTGGGGGGAAAAGCAGAGTATAAATAGCTTAATAAATAAAACTGCCACAGCTAGAGTCCTCCCTTGCTCTCCCACTGCTTTCCCCCACTCTTCCCTCCCCGAGTTTCCCCACTGTCCCCTTAGATCCCCAGGTCCTCTTGCATCCCTCACCCCCTCCCAGCCTTCCTCTCTACCTCTGTCCTCCTCCTCCACCCGTCATAGGACGCTCCCCCAGCTCCAACTCTCTCTACCTTTCCCCAAAACCTTCATCTTCAGCGCCCCCCAAGCCCTCATCACCCCTCCTCCTCGGTTCCCTTTCCCCAGCCCCCTCCTCCTTTGGCCCTCCCCTTCCTCGCCAGGCCCCTCCCCCAAAGCCCCCCTTACCCACCGTCGTAGTAGTAGCAGACTTTCCGCTTGGTCCCCTGAGTGAGCGCCATTTTCCACCCCCTCCTCCTCCTCCTCCTCCCGCCGCCTCCCGACAGCTCCTCCGTCCGACCCCAAGTTCTACCACACAACAGAGCGCGCCCGATGGAGAAAGGAAAGGCTTCTCCGATGCTTGCCCCGCACCCTTTCTAAGCTTACCGACCTATCGCAGCGTCGACGGCTGTCGTGTTACCCAATTAGAAGTCGAGGGAGGCGGAGCGATTCCCGCCAACAAGTTAGATAGAGCAGGCGAGCAGTTGCTCGGACTGTACCATTTCATCGCAGGAGGGTGATAGGCAGGGAAAGATAGGATCGTACCATTTCCATGGAAGAGGGAGGCGGTGGCTGGGCGGGGTTGCGACCCCCGATGAGTAGGCGGGATTCACCCCTGGCTAAGGGGAGAAGGGAAAGTGGATGCGCGAGCGTGCCGTTACCGTGGCGGGGAAGGCTGAGCGAGCACGTCCCGTCTCCCGGACATCAAAACTTTCTCCTCGAATCGTTTTCCCCCAAGTTTCTTAAGAAACCTGAGTTGTCACTGTCAGGCAAATAATGTATGTGGTCAATGGCCTTGGATTTTGCGGAGAGATCTTTGCGTTGCCCCTTGGCCTGCCAGTTGCGATCTCTTTGGATCCCTGGGGGGGGGGTTCTTCACATTTTATTCCGATGCTTTTGATCTCTCTGATAGTTTTTACCGTTTTCATTGCTTTGGGGCTGTTTTTCGACTGTTCATTGCCACTTTTTAAAAGAAAAGTAGTTTGATACTTTGCATTTTGTTGTTTTCGTTGTGAGAATGACAGGGTAGAAATCTTTAGAATAAAAAATACTCAAATATATTTTCGAGCTTTAGCAGAGATTTGGCCTAAACACACACGGGAAAAGCAGGTGGAGTCAGTCTACCTGTGACATGGCCTCCTTTTTTCCTCCATGCAGAGAAAATTTACACGGCAAAGAATCAAAATGTAAGTGATTCCCTGCCTTCCTCCCCACCTACATGTAATAAGGGTTCTCAGTTTGATTTCCACACATACCCAAAAAAGTGAGCTGTGGCTCAGGAAAGCTTCCCCACTTCTCATAACTCCCCTACTCTTTCCTCCCAGCCTTGATCTACAGCCAGCCTGTTTCCCCTTCCTTGTGTCACCTGCCTTGGACCAGAGTTAGGGGGATTTCTGAGACTTTCTTCTTGGGAACATCCCTGCCTACGGTTGCCAACCTCATGGTGGGACTTGAAGATCTCCCACTATTACCATTGATTCCCAGAAAACAGAGATGGAGAAAATGGCTGCTTTTGAGGGTTGAGGTCCCTCCCTTCCCCAAACCCTGCTCTCCCCAAGCTCCACCCCCCTAATCTCCAAGTATTTCACCACCCTATCCCTGCCAAAGGTGGGGAGGAGCACATGAAGCCGCCTTCTACTGAACTGGTCCCTTGGTCCATCAAGGTCAGTATTGTCTACTCAGGCTGGCAGCAGCTCTCCAGGGTCTCAGGCAGAGGTCTTTCACATCACCTTACCCTTTTCCAGGGCTTTTTTTGTAGAAAAAGTCCAGCAGGAACTCATTAGCATAATAGGCCACACCCAGCAGCAGAAACTCATTAGCATATTAGGCCACCCCCCTGACTGCACCACTCATTAGCCTATTAGGCCGCATTCCCATGTTACCAGAAGTGTGGTCATCCAGCCACACCCACCTTTTGCTTCTTATTCTGTTTACCTTGTTTGTTGTCAAAACCCAAGGCTTTTTTTGTTGCAGGAACTCCTTTGCATGTTAGGCCACACACCCCAATGTAGCCAATCCTAATGAGTTCCTGCTGTTGGGTGTGGCCTAATATGCTAATACAGGGGTCCTCAAACTACGGCCCACATGCGGCCCGCCGAAAACATTTATCCGGCCCGCCGGCAGGGCTGGCTCGCTCGTACGTGGCCCGGGGTCGCCTCTTGGCCTGCGTGGCTCCCCCCACTCCACGCCCCCATCCCGCGGGAGCGCCGCGTGTGGGCTGAGTGCCGCCGCGCCTCTCGGAGCTGCAGCCCTGGGCGGGGAAGCTGGAGCGGCCCAGTCGGCTCCGCGGAGGAGATGCCATGGCGCCGCCAGCTCCAGGGCTCACCTGCTTCAGTTGCCGGGTGTGCAAGGTGCGCGGCGGGGGGAGCCAGTGGCTGGACCGGGCTTTTGAGGGCTGCTGCCCGCCGCACCACCTGGGACCCCGCTGGAGTGTGGGCGCTGCCAGCCTGCCGGGTCCCGACGGGGTTGCCCGCCAGAAGTGCCGGCGGTGGCGGCAGCACAAGGGAAGGGGCCAGGTCTCTCCCTCCGCCAGGTCCTTCTGTCTGTCCCCGGGAAGGGAAGCGCCGTGCGTGCGGGTGCTGGGAACAACTCTTCTGAAGCGGGGGGAGGGGAGACCTGGCGGGGGCGTGACTGCGAGGGACCCGGCGGTGCAGGGCACTGGCCAGAGGGGCTCGGTCCCGAGAGGAGGGCAGCGGGGCCATGGACAGGCGGAGGACATGGATTTGCCGCTGACCGCGCTCGGAGCCTGTGTGTTTGTGCGCGCGCGCATGAGCGCAGCAGAGCATCGCCGCCTTTGGCTCTCGGACGTTGTGAGCCACCCACCCACCGCACCCACCGCTTGGGGCCTGCAGAGTGAGAGAAAGCGGAACCCCACCCGGGCAATTTTCCCTCTAAAGCACTGGTGTCTTGTGAGCAAAAATTCTACTGGCATTCAAGTTGTGATTAGTTTGCTCTGGAGCCCTCCTTCCTGAGCTAAGACAAACATCGCTTCACCTCGAGCCCTACAATAAGGCACTCCGGGGCTAGATTAACAGGTTGCTGGAGTGGAGCGGCAGAAAGAGAGACCCTCGCTGGAGGGAAGTGTGTCTGTATTGCAGGGCTTTCCCTTTTGAAATCAAGCCTTGGCGGGCTTCACTTGCCCTTTCGCTCGGCTGTCGCCATGACTTCTTCCCACATGCGGCGCTTCTCCCGCCTGGCCACACGCCGGGCCCTGGAGGCCTGGCTTCACACTGCGGTGGTGGGGAGGGACATTTTCGGAGGGATCCCTCGCTCACAGTTTTAATGCCAGGAGCTCACAAGACTCCACAGGGAGCATTGGTCAGGAGCGTGTCTCAGGATTTAGGTGGGGAGACTCTCTTGCTAGGTGCCCTCCCCTTCAAGTTAAAGCCATCTACATCACCAAAAGGGCGTTATACTGGAAACTGAGGCAACATGGAAGTGCATTTGACTTGAGCCAATGAGTCAATGCAAAGAGAGGTGTGAGCGGCTGCGGCGACTAGCAATGACAAATATGGGACCGGACAATGACCATCTCATTAGCCAAAAGCAGGCCCATAGTTCCCATTTAAATACTGGTAAGTTTGTTGATTTAACTTTACTTGTTCTTCATTTTAATTATTGTATTTGTTCCCATTTTGTATTTTTACTTCAAAATAAGATATGTGCAGTGTGCATAGGAATTTGTTCATAGTTATTTTAAACCTATAGTCCGGCCCTCCAACAGTCTGAGGGACAGTGAACTGGCCCCCTGTTTAAAAAGTTTGAGGACACCTGTGCTAATGAGTTCCTGCTGGGTGTGGCCAACTTGGGAGCCAGCCGGAACTCCGTTCCTGTGCGTTCCTGCCCAAAAATAGCCCTGCCCTTTTCACTAGGATGCCGGGTATTGTACCTAGGACCTTCTGCATACCAAGCAGATGCTCTACCACGACCCCTCCCTTGGGAAGAGATAAACTACCAAGTTCAGCATGAACCTAAGCACAGACATACAACCCATGGTCTTTTCCCTGCTAGATCAGAAGATTCAGCGAGACAGCGACTGCTTCTTGTACAGCAATAGAGCATCTTTGGCCCCTGGCACACGGGACGGCTGAAACGCGGCTACTCAGAGCCGCTCCAAACTTGAGACGCCGCGGCGGGATCCCACGGATCCCCTAGCCGCGGCGCATCACTCCCCGGCACGATCAGATGCCGGGGAGGAAAAGTCCGAGGGGAGGGGGGAGGCTGCCGAACTGCGCATGCTCGGGCATGCGCAGTACGGCCGGGGGGCGGGATGCGGCGGCGCAAGGATGCGCCGCCGATCCCACAGCCCGACCTGAGCCGCACCAATGGATGCAACCACCTAGAGAGGTGGTTCTTTTTTACGGCGCAGTATGGGCTGTTGGGACGGATCAGGGACGGAGACGGCACGCTCCCCAGATGTTGAGGTGAGATCGCGCCTGTTTGCTCCGCCCCAGTTCCGTCCCGCTCCCAGACCAAATGGGCTCGTATGAACAGGGCCTTTGCTGGGTATTTACAGTGCTGGAAGCTCACCCAGGATTCATTCCAGAGCTTGGTTTTGGTTGCCACCACCCAGTGCTGGAATGGGTTGTGTGCTAGTCACCAAGGAACAAATGCAAATGGCCTTCTCACAACTAAAAATGGTCATGATTGTCTTGGATTATTTATATTTATCCTTGTACATGGTGCTTTGCAGAGCAATGTAAGCAAAATGAAACCCAAAAAACAAAGGTAGGGCTCTGCCCCAAGAAGCTTACAGTCTAACAAAGTGCTGCATCTAGGATTATGGGGTGGGTGCTCCCATCACCGACAGAGTTGCCTCCAGTTGGGAGCCCAGAGATATCCTGGAATTACAACTGATCTCCAGACTACAGTGCTCAGTGCACCTGGAGAAAATGGCTGCTTTGGAAGGTGGCATTATATATGTATGGCATTATAACCTGCTGAGGTCCTCCCCTCCCCAAACCTTGCCCTCCTGAGACTCTACCTCTAAATCTCCAGGAATTTCCCAACCTGGAGTTGACACCCTAGATGGCTTTGTCCAAATACACTTAAACATTTTACAGATGAAGCATTGATTAAGACAGTGAAGGCCGGGCTTGCTTGGAGCCAGGCTTAGCCCCAGGACCATGTTTCTTAGCCCTGGTATATGTGAGGTAATAGAGGGAATAATCATCTCCCAGCCGTATCCACAGCTTACCCCACAGAATGGGGACTTAATGAGAAAGCCTTTCAAGTCTCAGAGGGTGTAGCATCTAGCTGCATTGAGCCTTTCCAGGCTGTGCCAGTGCAAAATGTTTTAAGAAGGGATTGGCATGCTTGGAGATTTGGTCAGCATTATATGTCT